GGGGAGGGCCCATGAGGACAATTAAAAGTTGTAGAAACCCTTCCATAAGGAAAAGCTTATGGAAAGAGGTTCTAGCAACAGTTCCTCTGGAGAGAAGCTAAGGCTTATCAGTCAGTAGAGCGTTGCAATTACTGTTGAGTGGTCCCGGTTTTGTGCTCCAGTTAAGAGATACGCTTTTCTACCTTCTGAATTTGACAAGCGAGTATCACTCTGATGGAAGGAAACAAGAGACTGCACGTTATACTTGTCACATAATTAATGTCTTCCCTGCCTTCAAGAAATGTGCGTTCATGTGTGATGAAGTGACAATGAAGATTAGAGCCCCCCATTAATTTGATGTAAAAGAAAAACGACAAAAATGACTCCGTGAAAAAATTGTAAAGAAGACAGACATTTCAACCGCTACAAACCTTCATTCCTTTTACTTTCTTAGAGCGAAGTACTGAAATTCGTAGATGTGAAATCACAAAAAACAGCTGTAGTTTCAATCGTATTTGTCATGGGAAAACTTGTTTGACAAACTGGATGTCCAAAAGTTTTAGCATTTCGCCCACTGGAATCGGTTCTTCTATCAATTTATAAACGTATCATTTAAAATTTTCTGTTACTTACGGAGAAACACTGCAGCAGAGTTGCGGAAATGGGGGAGCAGTGGGTTGAAATGTTGCTCAAATGTTCCGGGTTTGAGTTCCATGCATGGCATAAACTTTCATTGTCGTGAATAAACATCTTTTGCCGACTGTGTTTCTGTGCATACAGCCGAAAAACTGGTAGCAACACGTGAATCTGCGAACAACAGGAACGAAGGAGTGTTCTGGTTTGATCATGGCGGAACTAAATGCGTGTGTTCTATGACTGAAAGTTAGCAAGGTGTGTAACTCGTCAGTAACAGAGTAAGAGTAGTAAGCAAGCAATGAGTAGTAAAAGAGGTAAAAAAATGTGTGAAAGAATGCTAGTAACTACCGAGTTGTGATAAAAGATAAACAGTAATTTGAAGAAAACCAAAACAGCCAAATTAGGGCGGTATGAAAGGTGGGATACAGAGGTAGAGACGCAGAAAATGAATATGCTGCTGATCCTTTTCGTACTATGGCTGTGAAGCATCCAGCCTTTTCGCGGATTGCAAGCAAGAACCAATTAAGCAGTGGAATTCAGCATTTGAGGAGAAGACTTTTAGTTTTATACAAAACTAAACTTCATGCCCAGTTTATGGAATGGCGAACGGAAGAAAGCTACCTCGAACTATAACCATACTGTTGGAATACGTTTTCTCAAAGACATGCGTAGCCAGAAAGAACCACACTGAAACCTTTAAAGAATCATTTTTCCAGGAGATCGAAACTCAAAACTAAAACTTTACATCATAATGTACGGATGGTGGGAATATCTACCTTGATAAGACATCATTTCAAACTCTCTGCTCCCTAGAAACGACGACCATAACGTTCAGATTGGTCTGGTCATCCGACCAGTGTAAAGATTTTATTCATGCGGCCAGTTTTCCTGCACTACCTGAATTACTGGCTGTATTTTGAGCGTATGAATGAATGTATTTGATTGCTTGAATATACAGTAGATGGCATAAATTTGCAGCAAAATAGCACAAGAGAATTTCGCAAAAAAAAATGAAACGAATAATTCACATTAGGCAGCAGGCAAATTAGATATTATACAAGATGCATCAGCAAGGGTGATGGGTCCTTTATGATACGAACCAGAGCAGGAAAGAAAGAATTTCAACTCAGTCTCAGTTCTCTTCAACAGTATATGTTCATTATTTATTATGGTCATTATTATCATTATTGTTCATTCATTATGATCATGTAAGGCAAAGCTCATGGATGCGGTTGGAGGAAATACCGTTGTCGAAACAAAGGCAAGCTTTTGGGTTGTGTTGTACTCGTTATTAAATGTTTTTGAACTCTGGGACAACTAAAATTACTTTAAAATGTTAACGCCTCAAAGCAAATTTAAAGGCACAAATTTGTGCCTTTGAGGCATAGGATTTGCTGGTTAATTTCAACGTGGCTTTAGAATATCAGTGAAAAGTGATGACAGGCATCCAGCCCCTCCTATGATGAAGCACGAAAAATAAAACAGTATCCTGTCGATCAGTCAATAAATTCCATTTGCTTAAGCAACGCCTGTTGTTTTCAACATACAACAGTTTCATTTGAAAAACTGACGAGAAATAACCGACTAGATCGACAGTTAGCAGCAGCTAGGAAGGGCTAGCTGCGTGAGTAATTGCAGGAGGTCAGTGACTGCACAATGGACGCTAACGACATCCGCACATCCGTACATAAGTAAGCAACAAAAACTGTGATTTCACCATCACATTTCTTCCTCATGCTCTTTTCTCCAGTGGTTTGAGTTGGATATGATTTTAATAACAGCCTAGAGGTTGGGGTGATCCTGAATTAACACCTATCGTGGGAGTCACAGCAGAAAAAAGTGGAAAACTTTTCACAGTGCTCATGAAACAGTTTTCCATATGTTTGAAATATGAATGTTCTGAAATGTTTTTCACGACTGCTTCGTTTTCTTCTACTCCAAAGCAAGAGAATTTCGGTGCGTTTTGTCTGTGAACGTGTGGAGCGATACTAACCCAAAACGGATCCATTCTTCGTGTTTCGTCTCATCAGATTGGAGAACTTTTTATATTCAACTTTCGTGTGCTTTTTCCATTGTTTACGCTGTTGGTCGATTGAGCAATTGCGGCTTCTTTGATTCGGAATGACACGCCGTTTCGAGCCTTAAAAAGTTTTAAGACCTAGAGATCAGCCCACGAATGAACTGGATTTCGGAATGTAAGTGCAATTTGAATGATTCACTTGCTAGGTGAGACGTCAAAACATAGCGTGACACCCGACTGAGGTTTCATAACGAGAGGATTTATCGCAGTAAATGCACACTTATTCGTCAAATATACCTAGTACGCAGAGATAAACCGTTTTATGGACCGAAGAGTCTCCGGGACTGAACAATTTCTTTCTGGTCGTGTGCCAGATGGTCAATCAGACGTTCAGCACAGCAGTTCCCTCCTGGTCGTGCACCGTAAGCGAATCAGCGGCACTGTCGTACAGAACGCCGGAGAACAACTGACGCACATGTCCCTGATACCAATCTAATTCTTCTGCAGATCCAACGACCGCTAAGCACGAACATTAAACCGGCCACCATAGCGGGATACCATATATAACTCCTCAAAGCCTGACTTTACGGAAAATTGTGGTGCCCATACTCTTCTTAGTCAGAGGGTACTTAAGGAGGGACGGTTTCATCAAATTTAAATACCAGTGCTGTTCCTGACCGCACCCTTGCGTCATGCTCCTGATCAGCACAATGGTGAATTTAGGAATTAGTTTAGCTCAGGGAAACCTTTGTAACCTCCACCCATTTTATGTCGCCACAGTTATGAAAAATATGAGTTTGTACTCCAAAGTGTGTTATAAACATACAACTGTACTAATAAGCTGTGAAACTCGGTTATAAAGAACTGCAGTCGCCATTTTGATCATTCATGTTGACCTCTGATCGAAACGTTTATTTCGGTTAAATTATTTTTGTTTGGCACTATTGAGTGTATGCTTCGAGTTTAAGATACATCGTTCCTCCTCTTTCATATTAAAAATACACGGTGTCTAAGTAAATACCGCCCCTTCCAACCCGTCGCACCACAGTAAGAAGTGAAGCGATTCGAAATGCCTTTTGTCCGGAAGTATGCGTGCGCATCGCCCATAGGGTTAATGTCGGTGTTGTAAAACCGGGGTGCACTCTTAAATTTCAGACTGCAAAGCAGGCATGAATTAATGCGAATAATAAAATAAAACATACCGAAAAAAAATTCTGGCTTGTGAGCAGTCGATTTGGTCGTAGTTTAATTCGGTTCAGGGTAATTTAAGGTCGAAAAGACCACGACATGTTGCACTGAACAGAGTGCATGAAGAAAACGAGTAATATGAAGATAATATACAAAATAACCGCAGGAACATTTTGTGATTATGTTAAGTCACATATCAGGCATGAATTACTTGAAAAACGCTTCGTACTTGAGGTATTATTAAAGATTTTACGATAAAAGATAAAATCGATTGCCTGTAATCTTCCATACAGAAGAATGTAGGTCAGAACTGGTTTCTGTTTGACTTTAGGTTAGGCCGCTAGCTATTGAATGACGCTTGAATATTTTATATGATCCAATATCTTTACGCCAATTGAATCCAGAGATCATATCACTTTTTGGAGAAAATATTAATCTCTGTTCTCAGATCCAATTATGAAGCAACGACGCCATTATGAGGGCTCTCCCCTGCCTGATGACCACTTCTTCTGAATCTCTTTAGGGAAGTAAATTAGCACAACATGTTGCATTTTCAACAAACCTATCTGATGGTGCCTGAACCTGTAGTAACCGCCGAAAGAACGAGTTATCCTTGAGCATTTTCCGAATATCGCTTGCAACATATTAGGGCGCTGAAGTAGCAAAAACTTCAGAGCTGTTTGACGCATGAGTTTCTGCCGAACACCTTCTTTTAGATCGTCGCAGCTCTGTTTCCTCTTTGCAAATTGACAATCATTAACAGACACCGTAGTGGCTAAGTTCTAGAAGATTTTCTGCAAAATGACCACTAAATTCCGATCGTTAAACAAGACGGCAGCAACGGCGAAAATAAGTAGATTGCAAAATGTACATCATGTCATACATATCATACTAACAACAGTTGCGTTGCCACATCAGATACGTTTCTTACTTTTCTTCTGCTGTGGCTGTGTTACTTGCATGGAGTTGCATCACAGATTTGCTTCTTGTTGGTTGCAAGTTATTCTGTGCATAGCCATCACAAATAATAAAAATAAAAGCCAAACAGCTTTCTGATCATGCATAACTTTTAGGGCAATGGAAGGAAAAGTGCAAGATTATCTATGCTGAATTACGGAATTCGTTCTCGATGGTCATTTCCTCTGAAAGAACGTATTTGGTTTCAAATTTTACCAGTATGACACAGACGACGATCCAAGTCAACGAAAGCGTGGCGACTAACGACAGTAACTCGGAATGCAAGGTGAAAATCATTCCAAGGGCAGCATACTACTTACAAAGTAAGTAAATATTAGAAAAGCGGTTTCTCTCTGTAGAAATTTCTTGTAAACCGTTTAAAGCAGCGCTTTGTTATGCAACAATCGTGGCAAAATTTTCAAAGCGCTGGGGATGAAGAAAACAAGTGAGACCATTTTGGAGGACTACATTAAATCCCCGGCTTAGTGATGTTCACTATAACGGAGTTTTACTGTATTAGTTTTATGGATACTTTTCCAGTAAGACTGAAAATGTTCTTATCTGCAAAATTGACTTTGTGCTCGAAAAAGAAAGTTTTCAAGGTGTGCGCCTGCACCGCTAATCTATAGGTGCTAGAAGTTGACTGTAAGTCTGAAAGCTGTTTATGAACGACAGATTACGCATGCTGAGAATAACAGGAAAAGATACGTAGACGATTGTAGGGATAAGAGCAAAAGTAAGACTCTGCGATGCCATCGCAAGAGTTAAGAAGTCGAAGTGATTTGATCAGGGAACTTTGCATGAAAACCGGACATCACTAGGCCAAAGAGAGATTAGATTGCATTTCAAGAGAGGATTAACGATTATTAGAGTGACCTCCAGATCGATGGCACAATGAACTGAAGAATGCTGGACAAAATTGAGTGAAAATGGCTGATGGCAAAAATTTATGACCAAATCTTGAAGTGTCCTTCATCCAGCCGTCGATCGAAAAAGGCTGATGATGATACTCTCCAATGTTTTGGAAAAACAAGCCATTAATAAACAGATGTGGACCTAAGAATCATGGAAACAGCTTATAAGGAATTTTTAACGAAACAACATGCCGGTTTTACAACACTTGATTAAGTATTATTCGCGAAGAAATTTTTTGGGTTCAAACGAGCACTTTCGTTCGACAGCGTTTACGGTAATGAGAGTATTTTCAATTTCAGATATTGATCACGGATCAATGGCAATCATAATTACGGCGATTTGTTGTACCGCAATCATCTGCGTTGTTTTCACTAGAGAACTGTACGTTATTCGCAAGTACATTTCGAGAAGACGTCGAAGAAGTATGCTAGCCGTTTTGGCAGCACTTTATCCGGTATGCCCTTTATTCGCAAATCGTGCCTAAAATACATCTCGCCATTATTCTTGTTTTTTTCGACGCAAGCAAAATGTTCACTTCGTTGAATTTACTGCTTCCCATTCATTTACAAACGACGTTTGCGCCAAACCCTTAGGGAAAAATAAAATTCATTATTAACCATGTCGGCGTTAACAAATCTTTAGAAAAATGACATTTACAACCAATAAATGCTGCTTTTCTGTCACCCACACCATAAGAAATGTAATCAATAGATCACATAATTTTTTGTCAAATTATTCAGCATAAAATTAGCATATTCTATATCTTAGAGTCATAGTTTTTTTTTTGAAGAATTTCATTTATCACATTTCGCTGATGTGCACTGACAACATTTTCGAAAATGGAATGCAAACAAGGTTTACTCTATGTCTGCTTTTTCTAGTCCGGTCATTATGATCAACTAATTGTCTGTTTTTTTCTGAGTCGTTTATTCGGTGTCATGTCTGGTCTGTTGCTTCAGATAGTTGCTGTTACGAGTACCATTGGAATGCTCGTTCCTCGATCGATGCCACTTTCGGATCTTGTCAATCTGCTGTAAGTAATTCAATCGTTTTGACTGGAAATTGATTCATTGGTTGTTGCACAAGAAACAAATTTATAGACCAATGTCAGCCTTTCCTTTCACCCATAGGTTTTATTAGCGTTTTCCATAATATCTATCAACAAACTGCATGTCTCTAATGAGTGAAAGGCTTCAGATAAACAATTGTGTTATGATCATATTTCCAGAAACTGATGATGGTATGAAACAACCAGCGAAACACGTATTTGGAAGTGATTGGTTGACAACGGTCAGTTACTTTCAGTGGCAGTGAAATATTTACCGCACAATAAATGGAAGATTGTGTGTTTAGTGTTGATGCTGAAAACAGCATAAAATATCGCTTATTTATATACAACGTAAACCATATACTATACTATTTTCAATAAATTGAGCTCGCAAATATTAAAATTGTGCGTTGGTGTATGCGGTGCATGCCATTTACTCATAAATTCTTCTAGACCAGATTTGGTGGGGTTTTGTACACTCCTTGGCTCCTGGCCTCCTAAATGCGTTTGGGAGCGATTTGTACTGGCCATGAAATCATGGTATTTAAATATGTACAGTGCTAAGTACCTACCGC